TCTGTATGTCAATTCTAAGCGGAGATATTCCCATTTCAGTGACGGAAAGTGCCCTCAAAAAATTATAATGGAAAACACAGAAACAAGATGGCGGCGTGTTCCCAAGTGAAAACTGGACCTAAATTTATCATGTTTAATGTCCATAACTCTGAAGTTTTTTGCTGAACCCCTTAGCAACCATATGTCATTGCTTTCAGGACAGCAAGCTCTAACTAAAGTTGTTGCCTTTTTAAAAATATGATGTGATGCAAACCTAAATAACATAAAAATGAGTAAATTTATCAGTATTCATTAAATACCTTATGAATTAATTATTATTAATTATCCAGTGAGTCTTGCAAGACTTATACTGTAATATATATATATATATACTTTTATATCTATTCTTCCTGTTATGATGCATCTTTTTCTATTTGTTGAAAAATGCTTTTTCTCGCACTCTCATTTGTGTGTGTGTGTATGTTTGTGTGTGTGCATACATCTGACCGAAATTTGCTTTATTCCACTGTTTAAAAAATATTTAATAGCGAGTGGATTGACTTCATTGCATCGTTACTGATTTTATATGGCTTTGTCTTTCTCCACAATACTGAACAAATAACGCATGCCGAGAGCTTAGCACAAAGCCTGGATACCGTAGCTCCAGCAACAGCCCTCAGAGGTCTCCGCTAACCAAAAAAATGCATTTTCGAGTCGAACAATGCAGTTGTAAATGAACGTACAACAATCTTCCGAGCGCGAGGTTAACGGCTTGACCACTTTGATACGGAGACCCCTATATTCCTATATTGTTTTATAACCAAGTGAAAATGAGCGCCCCTCTTACTGATTTAACATAATCCCTTTTTCAATCTTTGCGAGTTATTCTTTCATTTTATTGATGATGAGACATTTCACCACATTGTTCCCCTCTTATTCTTAACTAGTCACTGCTTGATATTTTATTTACTTGTTCAAAATAATCGAAGGTAACCGCTCATGCCCGATTTGTGACTCAGTGCTATGTTTTTCATGGAGTAAAATTATTAAATAAGCTCCTTTGTAATTCGCTTTGGATTTATGTTGTGTTGTCATGGAGATGTAATTCGCTTCGGATTTATGTTGTGTTTTCATGGAGCAGCATTTCATAAGGTAAGAGGAAAAATTACATTATATTTTATTAACTTATCTATGTCCTACGTGATATGTGATTAAATATTATTAATCATAAGTTGTAAGTAAGTGAATTTATTCAGTTGAAAATAATATATTATTATTAATTTTATTAATCAACTTTCTAAATCATCATCTATAAGTCAATACTTCAATTTTAAAACAGTATCAATCATAAATAATAACTGTTATTTATACTATTTAAGACAATAAATATGCACCACAAAATCATAGTGCAGAAATGTGTGGCAGACATTTTTTTAAAATGTCAGTCTGTGTGCGGGGAGTGGGGGTCAACAGGTAAAAAGGCTTCAAACAGGAACTATGATTCATGCCAAATGATAGGTTATGGCTTAAAAAATGCTATAATGGCTAAAGATTCAAAAAATGATTAAATAACTACTTTATGTTCATTTAAAAAGTATAATAAAAAATATTGAAACCACTGTCTGCGTCCAAAATGTCAGTCTGGGTGCGGGGAGTGGGGGTCAACAGGTAAAAAGGCTTCAAACAGGAACTATGATTCATGCCAAATGATAGGTTATGGCTTAAAAAATGCTATAATGGCTAAAGATTCAAAAAATGATTAAATAACTACTTTATGTTCATTTAAAAGTATAATAAAAAATATTGAAACCACTGTCTGCGTCCAAAATGTCAGTCTGGGTGCGGGGAGTGGGGTCAACAGGTAAAAAGGCTTCAAACAGGAACTATGATTCATGCCAAATGATAGGTTATGGCTTAAAAAATGCTATAATGGCTAAAGATTCAAAAAATGATTAAATAACTACTTTATGTTCATTTAAAAGTATAATAAAAAATATTGAAACCACTGTCTGCGTCCAAAATGTCAGTCTGGGTGCGGGGAGTGGGGGTCAACAGGTAAAAAGGCTTCAAACAGGAACTATGATTCATGCCAAATGATAGGTTATGGCTTAAAAAATGCTATAATGGCTAAAGATTCAAAAAATGATTAAATAACTACTTTATGTTCATTTAAAAGTATAATAAAAAATATTGAAACCACTGTCTGCGTCCAAAATGTCAGTCTGGGTGCGGGGAGTGGGGGTCAACAGGCAAAAAGGCTTCAAACAGGAACTATGATTCATGCCAAATGATAGGTTATGGCTTAAAAAATGCTATAATGGCTAAAGATTCAAAAAATGATTTAATAACTACTTTAATTTGATTTAAAACTATTAATATAAAATGTTTAAACCACTGCCTGTGTCCATTTTCAACGCCAAAATACCATAGAAATATGTTAAAAACGTGCTAAAACATCATTTTCAGGTATTTAAATTTATTAAAACTCATGTGAAATTGAAGTTAAAGAAAGGTAAATTATTAATACAAATAAAACTTGCATTATTTTTGAACTGTTTTTATAAATAACTAGATTAATTAATCTGAGATAAACAGTTCGTTTAGGCCACGCGGTAGCCATTTTGAGAAATCTCCGATTTAGCTCTAAGAAGTGACTGGGAAGAAATTGAAACTGTATATCTTATGAAGTACAGATTCCAGCAAAACTGCCCATCCTTACGTAAAAATGGACACAGAATCTAAAAATGTCATTTAATAGTATTTAAGTTCACTTTAAAAAGGAGATATTAAAGAAATTTACTTACCATATGACAAATAGTGAAATTTATTACGCTCAATAAAGACCGCTATTCAATTTAGGCGCCGTTTGATAGAGTACCCTCTTTTGAATGACGAAGAGCGCATGTCATCAATTCTGAACTGCTAGAATCGCAATCAAAAAAATTAATTTATAATTCGTTATGAAACAAAACATTTTCACGAGTCCGCCGATCCCTCTGCGCACCAAACTGCGCAACTTTCGTTTTGACTTTGTTTACATTGGAGATCGTTATCTCTAGTAGCAGAGTTCCGGAATAGGGTTGCCACCAATTTTGAGCGGATCATAACTGTCACAAGTCTGGTCATTTTTGACATTTCTCATTATATTTTCTGAGTATATATTGAATAGGTATGGTGAGAGAATGCACCCCTGCCTCACCCCCTTTTGCACCTCGAACCAATCAGATGTTTCACCAGCTGCTCTGATGGCTGCTTGTTGTTTATGATAGAGATTTTCAATTAATTGCACTAAATGCGCAGGAAACCCCATACTTTTCATAATAGTCCACAGTTGGTGGTGCTGGACACAATCAAATGCCTTGCTATAATCAAGAAAACAAGCATGAAGATCTACATTGTATTCTCTGCATTTTTCAAAAATTATTCTCATATTAAATGTGTGATCCCTAGTTCCTCTACCCTGTCTGAAACCCGCTTGTGCTTCATCTAGTTCATATTTTAATTTCCTTTCAATCCTTTTCATGATAATTCGTAAGAGGATTTTGCTAGCATGACTTTTTAATGCAATAATGCTATAGTTGGAGCAAAGTTTTGGATTTCCTTTCTTTGGTAGAGGGATATAGACTGTTCTTTTCCACGCTTTAGGCCAAATGCCACTGTTCCAGATCTTCGAGCTCCCGTATAGCTAATTTTATTCATCATCAACCATGTCCCTAACAATTTATTGCACTGATATTGAAAACATTCACTAAGAACTGGAAAAAGATGATGATTTTAGAACATCTCTTGAAATGTCTATAAATAACCTATCAAATGCAATATGCAAGTCTGCATGCTGCAAATATTGTGCAGGAAGCATCAACTTGGAAGATATGGGAACATCTGGCCACTAGTCCTGATTTGTAACTGTGATGTTTATTAATACAGACCTCTACAAGAGAATGTCATGTGGCAGTAATTTCACACAAATGCAGGTGTAACCAATAAGATAAGACTTGTTTAAGTGAGCAGCCTCAATCCTTTGTGTGTGTGGACAGCATTTGCTGCCTACCTAAGTGGCAAAGTGCGACTTTCTAACCAACCCAGGGGCATAATTCTGACAAAATGAATGCTTTGTTTACTTCAGCTATACCTGGATATTTGTTCATGCTTTTGTAATATAGCTATTGGCATGGGTTTGAAATAATCATTCATTCAGTAGCATGTCCCTCGCGGAACCTCGCTGCCATAACAACCCTCCGGAAAACCTTCCTATCCTGAGCAAGATGTCCTGCGTCTGATACACCCATCTGGAGATCATCTGCCACATCCTGCACCCATCTTCTCCTTGGCCTTCCTCTTTCTCTCTTCCCAGGCATATACCCCTCCATTATTGTTCTCTCTAGACTTCCATGACGTTTCAAGTGACCAAAATATTTCAATTTTGTTTGTTTTATTGTCTTTACTAGCCAACCCTCTTCAATACTCAGCTCTTGAAGTATGGATGCATTTGTTCTTTTCTTTACCCAAGATATTCTTAGAACCTGTCTGTAACATTTATATTCAAATGCATTTATGCGCTGTTCCGCTTGTTTAGTAAGTGTCCAGGTCTCACAGGCGTATGTTGCAATGGGAAAGATGCATGCTCTTAAAAATCTGACCTTTGTAATTCTATCTGTACAATTCCATAATTTATTCAGTTGTTTTAGTCTTTGAAGAGCAATTGATAGTCGCCGTTTAATTTCTTTCATTGTGTCACCATTGTTGGTAACCAGTGACCCAAGATATTCGAAATTTTCCACCACTTCCAATCTTTCCTCATTAACATATATTTCCTTCTCCATGGCAGTTTTGTTTGTATGCAACAATCACTTCTTAATATAGACTGCAGTATCAGTACATAATATATAAAATAGACTGTTGATATGGTAGTTAACGTAATTGATATATCAGTTCTCTAGATATTGTGTTTGGTTGTCTTGTAGATTGCTTCCAGACATGCAGCAAGACACAGGCAGACAGAGCTGCAGCAGTGCTCACAGAATATCTCAGCATGCAGGAGAGGCAGGCCCTGGAGTTGGCTCAACACAAACAGTTGTTTCTGCAAGAGGGCACTCAAAGGCATCAAGCAGCTAGTGACAGCATACTCCTGGCGGAGGTCTGTACTGTGCCACATTATTTTATGTAAGGCTAGACATGTCCCACAGTTATGTTTGTAAGGTTACACATGTCCCACAGTTATGTGTGTAAGGTTAGACATGTCCCACAGTTGTGCGTGTAAGGTTCCACATGTCCCACAGTTGTGCGTGTAAGGCTAGACATTACCCACAGATGTGTGTGTAAGGTTACTCATGTCCCACAGTTGTTTGTGTAAGGTTAGATATGTCCCACCGTTGTGTGTGTAAGGTTAGACATGTCCCACAGTTGTGTGTTAGGTTACACATGTTTATAAGGTTAGACATGTCCCACATGTTTATAAGGTTACACATGTCCCACAGTTGTGTGTGTAAGGTTACACATGTTTATAAGGTTACATATGTCCCACATGTTTATAAGGTTACACGTGTCCCACATGTTTATAAGGTTACACATGTTTATAAGGTTACACATGTTTATGAGGTTAGACATGTCCCACAGTTGTGTGTATAATGTTACACATGTCCCACATGTTTATAAGGTTAGCCATGTCCCACATGTTTATAAGGTTACACATGTTTATAAGGTTAGACATGTCCCACATGTTTATAAGGTTAGACATGTCCCACAGTTGTGTGTGTAAGGTTAGACATGTCCCACATGTTTATAAGGTTACACGTGTCCCACATGTTTATAAGGTTACACATGTTTATAAGGTTACACATGTTTATGAGGTTAGACATGTCCCACAGTTGTGTGTATAATGTTACACATGTCCCACATGTTTATAAGGTTACACATGTTTATAAGGTTAGACATGTCCCACATGTTTATAAGGTTAGACATGTCCCAAGTTGTGTGTGTAAGGTTAGACATGTCCCACATGTTTATAAGGTTAGACATGTCCCACATGTTTATAATTTTACTCATGTCCCACAGTTGTGTGTGTAAGGTTAGACATGTCCCACATGTTTATAATTTTACTCATGTCCCACAGTTGTGTGTGTAAGGTTAGACATGTCCCACAGTTGTGTGTGTAAGGCTAGACATGTCCTAAATTTCTATGATCAAGGTTAGACATGTCCTACAGTTGTGTGTGTGTAATGTCTCACAGTTGTGTGTGTGTAATGTCTCACAGTTGTGTGTGTGTGTAATGTCTCACAGTTGTGTGTGTAAGGTTGCACATGTCTCACAGTTGTGTGTGTAAGGTTAGACATGTCCCATAGTTTTATGTGTAAGGTTAGACATGTCCCACAGTTGTGTGTGTAAGGTTACACGTCCCACAGTTGTGTGTGTGTGTAATGTCTCACAGTTGTGTGTGTGTGTGTAATGTCTCACAGTTGTGTATTTAAGGTTGCACATGGCTCACAGTTGTGAGTGTAAGGTTAGACATATCCCACAGTTGTTTGTGTAAGGCTAGACATGTCCCACAGTTTTGTGTGTAAGGTTAGACATCTCCCACAGTTATGTGTGTAAGGTTAGACATCTCCCACAGTTGTGTGTGTAAGGTTACACATGTCCCACAGTTGTGTGTGTAAGGTTACACATGTCCCACAGTTGTGTGTGTAAGGTTACACATGTCCCTCAGTTGTGTGTGTAAGGTTACACATGTCCCTCAGTTGTGTGTGTAAGGTTACACATGTCCCTCAGTTGTGTGTGTAAGGTTAGACATCTCCCACAGTTATGTGTGTAAGGTTACACATGTCCCACAGTTGTGTGTGTAAGGTTAGACATCTCCCACAGTTATGTGTGTAAAGTTACACATGTCCCACAGTTTTGTGTGTAAGGTTAGACATCTCCCACAGTTGTGTGTGTAAGGTTACACATGTCCCACAGTTTTGTGTGTAATATTACACATGTCCCACATGTTTATAAGGTTACTCATGTCCCACAGTTGTGTGTGTAAGGCTAGACATGTCCTACATTTCTATGTGTAAGGTTAGACATGTCCCACAGTTGTGTGTGTGTAATGTCTCACAGTGGTGTGTGTGCGTAATGTCTCACAGCTGTGTATGTCAGGTTACACATGTCCCACGGTTGTGTGTATAAGGTTACATATGTCCCACAGTTGTGTAAGGTTACACGTCCCACATATTTATAAGGTTACACATGTCCCACAGTTGTGTGTGTAAGGTTACACGTCCCACATATTTATAAGGTTGCACACGTCCCACATATTTATAAGGTTACACGTGTACCACAGTTGTGTGTGTAAGGTTAGACATCTATCTATGAAGGCAATCACCAGCAGTGCCCAGAGCATTGTGCTCAATACAGTCAGTCTCTCTCTCTCTCTCTCTCTCTCTCCCTCCCTCTCTCTCTCTCTCTCTCTCTCTCTCTCTCTCTCTCTCTCTCTCTCTCTCTCTCTCTCTCTCTCTCTCTCTCTCTCTCTCTCTCTCACACAAAAGGTCACAAAGGTCACACACAGATGGTATCTTTCTCTGACACACACACACACCCACTCACACTTTCTCTCTCTACATATGCATGCATGTGGTGAGTATGTGTAAGAGCGCGGGAGCTTTTGCATGCATTTTACAAGCCATGCTTTTATGTTTTTTCCTGATATTTATAATATGCATATCATCTGATCAAAACATGCTTTATTGGTAAAAGATGGAAGGGCCGAATGTAAGACGGGCCTGCATGCCCAATTTTTGACCCTTTGAAAAAATATCTCTCTCTCCCCTATCTCTCTCTCATAATATGTGGGTATTGACATACAGAGGTAGCATATCCTATCTCTTTCTGATATACACATGCACACACACCCTATGTCCCCCCCCCCCCCCCATCTCTCTCTCTCTTTCTTTCTCTCACATACACACACAATGTGTCTCTGTCTCTCTCTTTTTTTATACACATGTCTCTCTCTCTCTCTCTCTCTCTCTCTCTCTTTCTCTCTCTTCCGCTCTGTGTGTGTGTGTGTCTCAATCTTTCTAAGACACTGTGTGTGTGTGTCTCAATCTCTCTCTCTCTCTAACACACAGTGTGTGTCTCAATCTCTCTCTCTAACACACTGTGTTTGTGTCTCAATTTTTCTAACACACTGTGTGTGTGTGTCTCAATCTCTCTCTCTAACACACAGTGTGTGTGTCTCAGTCTCAATCTCTCTAACACACTGTGTGTGTGTGTCTCAATCTCTCTCTCTAACACACTGTGTGTGTGTGTGTCTCAATCTCTATAACACACTGTGTGTGTGTCTCAATCTCTCTCTCTCTCTCTCTCTCTCTCTCTCTCTCTCTCTCTCTCTCTCTCTCTCTCTCTCTCTCTCTCTCTAACACACTGTGTGTGTCTCAATCTCTCTCTCTAACACACTGTGTGTGTGTGTCTTAATCTCTCTCTCTAACACACTTTGTGTGTGTCTCAATCTCTCTCTCTAACACACTGTGTGTGTGTGTGTCTCAATCTCTCTCTCTAACACACTGTGTGTGTGTGTCTCAATCTCTCTCTCTCTCTAACACACTGTGTGTGTGTGTCTCAATCTCTCTCTCTAACACACTGTGTATGTGTCTCTAACAATCTCTCTAACAATCTCTCACACACTGTGTGTGTGTGTCTCAATCTCTCTAACACACTGTGTGTGTGTGCCTCAATCTCTCTCTCTAACACACTGTGTGTGTGTCTCAATCTCAATCTCTCTAACACACTGTGTGTGTGTCAATCTCAATCTCTCTAACACACTGTGTGTGTGTGTGTCTCAATCTCTCTAACACACTGTGTGTGTGTCTCAATCTCTCTAACACACTGTGTGTGTGTGTCTCAATCTCTCTAACACACTGTGTGTGTGTGTGTGCCTCAATCTCTCTAACACACTGTGTGTGTGTCTCAATCTCTCTAACACACTGTGTGTGTGTGTCAATCTCAATCTCTCTAACACACTGTGTGTGTGTGTGTCTCAATCTCTCTAACACACTGTGTGTGTGTCTCAATCTCTCTAACACACTGTGTGTGTCTCAATCTCTCTAACACACTGTGTGTGTGTCTCAATCTCTCTAACACACTGTGTGTGTGTCTCAATCTCAATCTCTCTAACACACTGTGTGTGTGTGTTCGTCTCAATCTCTCTAACACACTGTGTGTGTGTCTCAATCTCTCTAACACACTATGTGTTTGTGTCTCAATCTTTTTAACTCACTGTGTGTGTGTGTGTCTCAATCTCAATCTCTCTGACACACTGTGTGTGTGTGTCTCAATCTCTCTAACACACTGTGTGTGTGTGTCTCAATCTCAATCTCTCTAACACACTGTGTGTGTGTGTCTCAATCTCAATCTCTCTGACAAACTGTGTGTGTGTGTGTCTCAATCTCAATCTCTCTAACACACTGTGTGTGTGTGTCTCAATCTCTCTAACACACTGTGTGTGTGTGTCTCAATCTCAATCTCTCTAACACACTGTGTGTGTGTGTCTCAATCTCAATCTCTCTAACACACTGTGTGTGTGTGTGTCTCAATCTCTCTGACACACTGTGTGTGTGTGTGTCTCAATCTCAATCTCTCTAACACACTGTGTGTGTGTCTCAATCTCAATCTCTCTAACACACTGTGTGTGTGTCTCAATCTCTTTAACACACTGTGTGTGTGTGTGTGTCTCAATCTCAATCTCTCTAACACACTGTGTGTGTGTGTGTGTCTCAATCTCAATCTCTCTAACACTGTGTTTGTGTCTCAATCTCTCTAACTCACTGTGTGTGTGTGTGTCTCAATCTCAATCTCTCTAACACACTGTGTGTGTGTGTGTGTCTCAATCTCAATCTCTAACACACTGTGTGTGTGTGTCTCAATCTCAATCTCTCTAACACACTGTGTGTGTGTCTCAATCTCTCTAACACACTGTGTGTGTGTGTCAATCTCTCTAACACACTGTGTGTGTGTCAATCTCTCTCTCTCTAACACACTGTGTGTGTGTGTGTCTCAATCTCTCTAACACACTGTGTGTGTGTGTGTGTCTCAATCTCTCTAACACGCTGTGTGTGTGTCTCAATCTCAATCTCTCTAACACACTGTGTGTGTGTGTCTCAATCTCAATCTCTCTAACACTGTGTGTGTGTGTGTCTCAATCTCAGTCTCTCTAACACACTGTGTGTGTGTCTCAATCTTAATCTCTCTAACACACTATGTGTTTGTGTCTCAATCTCTCTAACTCACTGTGTGTGTGTCAATCTCAATCTCTCTAACACACTATGTGTGTGTGTGTGTCTCAATATCTCTAACACACTGTTTGTGTGTGTGTGTCTCAATCTCTCTAACACACTGTGTGTGTGTCTCAATCTCTCTAACACACTGTGTGTGTGTCTTAATCTCTCTAACACACTGTGTGTGTGTCTCAATCTCTCTGACACACTGTGTGTGTGTGTGTGTCTCAATCTCAATCTCTCTAACACACTGTGTGTGTGTGTTTCTCAATCTCTCTAACACACTGTGTGTGTGTGTGTCTCAATCTCAATCTCTCTGACTCACTGTGTGTGTGTGTCTCAATCTCAATCTCTCTAACACACTGTGTGTGTGTGTGTTTCAATCTCAATCTCTCTGACACACTGTGTGTGTGTGTGTCTCAATCTCAATCTCTCTAACACACTGTGTGTGTGTCTCAATCTCTCTAACACACTGTGTGTGTGTCTCAATCTCTCTAACACACTATGTGTTTGTGTCTCAATCTTTTTAACTCACTGTGTGTGTGTGTCTCAATCTCAATCTCTCTAACACACTGTGTGTGTGTGTGTGTGTCTCAATCTCTCTAACACACTGTGTGTGTGTGTGTCTCAATCTCTCTGTGTGTGTCTGTCTCAATCACTCTCTCTCTCTCTCTAACACACACTGAATGTTTTGAGGAAGAACACTTGCTGTTGCTGGTTACAGGAAGCAGCTGTGGCATATTTTACCAGAGTCTGCCATGAAATCACCCAGCTGTTGTCCAAAGCCAAGGATGATTTCACTATTAACAGTGCTCATCTTCAAGATTTCATCTCTGCACTTCATAAACAAGTAAGCTACTTTTAATCTAAGTTTATTCTCTATTTTATCTGTAGTCACATTTGTTCTTGTTGCCACATATGTCCATGTCCCACCAATTGTCCGTGCTGTCGCATATGTCCACTTTGTCTCACTGTCATTGTGTTTAGTCACACATGTCTGTGTTGTCTCACCATCTGTTATGTGTATTCACATATGTCCATCTTGTCCCACTATCTGTGTTGAGTCCAGTTGGTTATCAAGTCCAAACAGCACTGTCTGGTCTGGTGTTCTATGTGTGTGTATATTTATGTATGTAGATATGGGTGCATAAGTATCTCAGTGGGCTTGTGTGTCTCTGCCTGTGTGTCTGTATGCGTGCCTGTGGCTGAATGTGTGTATTTGTGACTGATTGTGTTTTTGAGTGTGTGAGTTTATGTATGTGTGAATGTATGTAGGTATGTGGGTGCATTTGTGTGTGAAGTGAGTGGGTTTGTTTGTGTATGCATGCATTTTACCACCCATGCTTTTGTATTTTTACTTGATATTCATAATATGCATATTATTATGTGACAGAACATGTCTAGTTGATAAATTACAACTGCTGTGTGAAAGATGGATGTTTGGAAGGGCTGAATGTAAAACTAACCTGTTTGCACAATTTGTGACCTTTTGAAAATAAAGTTTGTTTGTTCGTTCTCATAACAAGTCTCGACTGTGGGGTCTAGTGTTCTCATAGCAAGTCTTGACAGCAGGGTCTAGTGTTCTCATAGCAAGTCTCGACAGCGAGGTCTAGTGTTCTCATAGCAAGACCAGACAGCGGGGTCTAGTGTTCTCATAGCAAGTCTCGACAGCAGGGTCTAGTGTTCTCATAGCAAGACCAGACAGCGGGGTCTAGTGTTCTCATAGCAAGTCTCTACAGCGGGCTCTAGTGTTCTCATAGCAAGTCTCGACAGCAGGGTCTAGTGTTCTCATAGCAAGTCTCGACAGCGGGGTCTAGTGTTCACATAGCAAGACCAGACAGCAGGGTCTAGTGTTCTCATAGGAAGTCTCGACAGTAGGGTCTAGTGTTCTTATAGCAAGTCTCGACAGCGGGGTCTAGTGTTCTCGTACCAAATCTCGACAGCAGGGTCTAGTGTTCTCATAGCAAGTCTCGACAGCGGTGTCTAGTGTTCTCATAGCAAGTCTCGACAGCGGTGTCTAGTGTTCTCATAGCAAGTCTCGACAGCAAGGTCTAGTGTTCTCATAGCAAGTCTCGACAGCAGGTGTCTAGTGTTCTCATAGCAAGTCTCGAAGGCAGGGTCTAGTGTTCTCATAGCAAGTCTCGACAGCAGGGTCTAGTGTTCTCATAGCAAGTCTCGACAGCAGGGTCTAGTGTTCTCATAGCAAGACCAGACAGCGGGGTCTAGTGTTCTCATAGCAAGTCCCGACAGCGGGGTCTAGTGTTCTCATAGCAAGTCTTGACAGCGGGGTCTAGTGTTCTCATAGCAAGTCTCGACAGCAGGGTCTAGTGTTCTCATAGCAAGTCTTGACAGCGGGGTCTAGTGTTCTCATAGCAAGTCTCGAAGGCAGGGTCTCACAGCTAGTCTCAAACAGCATGGTCTAGTTTTCTCATGGCAACTCCAAACAGCTAGAGTTCTGACAGCAAATTCAAACAGCACTGTCTAGTGGAGTGGCTCTCAACCTTCCTAATGCCTCAACCCTTTAACACAGTTTCCCTATGTTGTGGTGACCCTTTAATACAGTTCCCTCGTGTTGTGGCGACCCTTTAATACAGTTCCCTCATGTTGTGGCAACCCTTTAACACAGTTCCTTCATGTTGTGGCAACCCTTTAACACAGTTCTCTCATGTTGTGGCGAACCCGAAACAATTATTTTCCTCCATCGAATATGTGTTTTCTGATTGTTTTATGCGACCCTGTGAAAGGGTAGTTCGACCCCCAAAAAATAAGGTCGCAGGTTGAGAATCGCTCCTGTAGTTTTCTCATATCAAGTCCAGAGAGCACTGTCTAGTGTTCTCATGGCAAGTCTAAACAACACCGTCTAGTGTTCTCATAACAAGTCTCAACAATGCTGTCTAGTGTTCTCATATCAAGTCCAGACAGCACTGTCTAGTGTTCTCATATCAAGTCCAGACAGCACTGTCTAGTGTTCTCATAGCAAGTCCAAACAGCGCTGTCTAGTGTTCTCATAGCAAGTCCAGACAGCACTGTCTAGTGTTCTCATATCAAGCCCAGACTGCACTGTCTAGTGTTCTTATAGCAAGTCTAAACACCCTGTCTAGTGTTCTCACAGCAAGTCTAAACACGCTGTCTAGTGTTCTAATAGCAAGTCTAAACTGCACTGTCTAGTGTTCTCATAGCAAGTCTAAACACACTGTCTAGTGTTCTCATAGCAAGTCTAAACACGCTGTCTAGTGTTCTAATAGCAAATCCAGACAGCACTGTCTAGTCTTCTCATAGCAAGTTTAAACATGCTGTCTAGTGTTCTCATAGCAAATCCAGAAAGCACTGTCTGGTGTTCTCATAGCAAGTTTAAACATGCTGTTTAGTGTTCTCATATCAAGTCTGAATGTAGCACAGCTGTCTTTGCATGCGTTGTCGTCACACCCACGATCGTCTTTTCATTTGCTAGAGGAGTCACTTGAAAGAATTAAGATAAGGAGAAAGATGTTCATATTATTAATTGTGGTGATGATGATGATGTCTTGCTAGTTGCTTACTTCTCACATCACTCCGATACTTGTATAACAAAGTGTCTTGAAAAAACTATTCTTTTTAGTGTACTGTCTTTATTGCCATCTCTAAATGCGATAAATAACATCAGTGGTATTCTGAATGACAGCTAGTTTGCTCTGTAGCTATGTACTCTTGATAACGCCTTGTGTTCTTTATCTCTAGTTGCTTTGTTATCTGGTTCTAGTATTTTCAACTGCCACCTGGCTTCTAATTCTGTCACTAGACATTAACAGCTTGATCTTCGACTCTAACATCTAGTACTGTTTATTCCTAATGTGTGGCTGTTGAACAATGAGTCATGTATCTTAACTATTGTCTCCTTTAGTTTGTTGTTTCATTTTATTTCCTCTCTTTAATGACTGTCTTTTAGGCTCCATGTGTCTGAATCCTCTTCTTCTAGAGTTGAGATAGCATCTCCTCAACTAACAGTTCTTGTCTGCGAGGGTCCATGTGACTCATCCTCTGAGTATCAGCCACTGAATCTATATTCTATTCTAACTGTGCACATTATCCTATCTCATGACAAACATGTGATGGTTCTAAAAACAACCCTGTAACAAAGACAGCACAGCTTAGTGTTTCTCATATCAAATCCTGACAGCACTGTCTAGTGTTCTCATAGCAAGTCCAAACAGTACTGTCCACTGTTCCTATAGCAAGTCCAAACAGCACTGTCCACTGTTCTTATAGCAAGTCTAAACAGCACTGTGAAATGTTCTCATAGCAAGTACAAACAGCACTGTCCACTGTTCCTATAGCAAGTACAAACAGTACTGTCCACTGTTCCTATAGCAAGTCCAAACAGCACTGTCCACTGTTCTTATAGCAAGTCTAAACAGCACTGTGAAATTTTCTCTCCCCCCTTCCCCCTCTTTCAAAGTCTAAACCACAATGTCTAGTGTTTTCTTAGTAAATCCAGACAGCACTGTCCAGTTTTCTCATAGCAGATCCAGACAGCACTGTCCAGTTTTCTCAATATGTGATGCTTGTGTCCTTACAGCAAGAGCAAGCCCAGACAGCACTGACAGATTACAAGGATCATGTGATAGCAGAGTTGGCTGGAGCGTTTGCCCTGAGCAGGAAATGGAATGAAGAACTGACGCTAGAGAACAGCCAGATGAAAAAGCAATTGATGGCAGCAAGACAGCAGCAGGAAGTCGTTTGACAAGGTTGAGTTCTAGTCTGATTCCACCATGCTATTGTTTGAAACCAAACAGCAACTGTTCTCTTAGTTTGCTTTTGAATGACCACAGAACAATGTCACTTTCTTAGAGTTGTGATACATTTTCAACTTTCATTAGTCTCTCTCTCTCTCTCTCTCTCTCTCTCTCTCTCTCTCTCTCTCTCTCTCTCTCTCTCTCTCTCTCTCTCTCTCTCTCTCTCTCTCTCTCTCACTCTCTCTCCCCTCTCTCTCTCCCCCTCTCTCTCTCTCCCTCTCTCTCTCTCTCTCTTCCTCTCTCTCTTTCTCTCTTCCTCTCTCTCTTTCTCTCTTCCTCTCTCTCTCTGTCTACTCCCTCTCTCTCCCTCTCTCTCTTTCTTCTTTCTCTCCTCTCTCTCTTTCTCTCTTCCTCTCTCTCTCTGTCTACTCCCTCTCTCTCTTTCTCTCTCTCTCTCTCTCTCTCTCTCTCTTTCTCTCTCTCTCTGTCTCTCCCTCTCCCCCCACCCCCCCCACTCTCTCTCTCTCTCTTTCTTTCTTTCTCTCAAGACGGACGTTTAATCAGAATGCTACTGGCACCATTAGCATTGGAACTCTTTGATGGCTGCTATAGATGGGGACGGAGCGCTTATGGGAATGCCCGAGTGCTGTGATGTCAGTTCTTGAATCAGCCCAACTTAACAGTGCCAACATATTGAAGGCTTTTAACACGCTACCCAACAGGAAACATTCTTTGGATCAGGCAATACCTAATTCTCTAACATGTGAAGAGTTCAGTTCCTGTTGAATCCACAAATTGAGAATTTATAAAGTCCTCAATGCCACTCCCAGTGTGACCTAAGCCTGCTAGCAACTTTCTGTGAAGATAAATGCACCATGACTATACCTCCTGAGATTCCTCTTTTGTTTGTTGCTGAAGTGTATAAATCTCTCTCTAACCTTTAAGTCCTCTGGCTTGGGTGGAATCAGTAATCAAATTCTTGGATGTGCTGCACCAGTCATTAGTGACTCCCCAACATTCATATATAATCAGTGACTTGCCAAAAACTACTTTCCATCAGCATTTAAAAATTGCTAACGTTTATCCTCTGTTCAAACCTGGCTCAGCTGACAACACTCCTCTTGGCAATTAATTATCGACGCATTTCTTTACTGTTCTTGCTATCCAACCATTAGAGAAACACACACATAAAATAACTTTTCAACATTTGAATACAAACAATCTCATATTTGATAGCCAGTCATGATTCAGGCCTAAACACTCTTGCCATACTGAGTTGAAACAAAATCTAGGCCTCTAAAAGCCAGACAAAAGTTACGAACATTAGCACTGAATATAATATGTGATTTTGTGCTGACTGTACAATAAAAACTAGTCATGAAAATTGTAATGAGTTGGTAAGTTCTTTACAGAAAGAAATGAAATTCTTTTTTAAATGAAGCAATCGCATGCAGGTCAACATAAACTAAACTAAATCTATGCTTATAACAGCCAGGCAGAAGTTACAAACATTAGTACTGCACAAGCCACCACTTGACAAATCAGGACTAGTGGCCAGATGTTCCCACATTACCCAGGTTGATCCTTCCTGCCCAATATTTGCAGCATGGAGATGAGCATTACCGTGCAACAATATCACACTGCCAGAAAACATACCAGGGTATTTACTGGTGGCTTTATGCAGCCTGTCTAGTGTTTGCAAGTAGTGGGTAGAGTTGATGTTGATTTGGTAATCTTAGTTTGAGATTCACAGTATTTTCAATATCTGAAACCAGGCATAAATTGCGAATTTGAAGAGAGAGAGAGTCTTTTAACATTTGATTTAGCACAAGCATCCCACACAGCGAAACACTAGTCGACATGTGTTTGGATGTAGGAGGCGTAAAATATTTTTTGTGTATCTTCATCCAGAAAGTGCTGAATTTTGGCAAGCTGATAAACGTTTTGTGCTGTTTTCTTAGTTATGACACAAACATCAGAATTCCAAGTTAAATGATTGTCAGTTGTAAGGCCTAATGTTTTGTGTTCCATTACACTAACAATAGTAATTTATCAACATCAAAATGGACGCTAGAAACCGCCACTGGCCACTGCATTTTTGCTTCATATGTAGACGAAAGGATATAGTTTCATCACCCAGCTACTAATTTGAGTGCCTGGTGCGACCCTGTGAGCTGCCTATTTCATTTGGAATGATTTTCAATTTTGACCAACTTTGTGTTGTGAATTGTAGAATTAGAAAATGGCGTGTGGCCTGTTGTCAAAATATTAATGGTGCCCCTATGTGATTTCTGCTGATCTGTTAGTTAACTCTGCTACCATCCATGTTGAACTGCATTTCTAATGTTAGACTGTTTGTGTTAGCACTTCCGATTGCTACCATATGCTTTTAATGCGTGTGTATTTTAGTGCATATGCTGAGACAGCAGTCTGTCAATCTTTCCACAAGGGACTGTGATGAACATTCTGTATGTTTGTCGTTGGCACAGGAGCGGAGCAACTATGGGGTGACCCGTTTGCTATGAAGCTGAAACTAACATTAACATACTCAAATAAACTAACCATGCAATACAAGAATAACAAACAAAACTCAATATTTTTTAGTGTGATGAAATGACCTCGGTGTTTTCAGAATGTAGTAAGTTTAATACTTTGTTTGTTCAATACAGAAACTAGGAATTATATTTACTAGGCACTAGAACCAAATACAACAAGCATGGGAGTTTAGAAATTGTTCTCAGTTTGTAGACTAGTCAAGCAACTAGTCCTAGCCTAAGATTATCTAATATTACTTGATTTCTATATTAGCATTCCCTTTGTAAATCTTACATAATGGTTTCCCTGCACGTATAGGTAGAGGTGTGTTGGTGATCACAGACCACCAGCCTGGCACACACTGAGAGGGACTGAGCCAACACTCATGGCAGCTCTGTGTCACACAAACATTAGAGGACAAGGATTGGTGTATTTTATTTGAGAAGAGAATTATTGTGTGCACCTCGTTGGCTATATTTAGATATCATTTTTGACAAGGTGTAGCCATATGTTGCATGCAATATATTGTCTGTGCCTTTATTGTTGAAATACATTGATATGATAAGATCATGTTTATACTGGTTATCCTACAGGAGATAATGGGAATGATGATGTCCAGGCAAGAACACTTGGGGCAGTACTGGGCTGAGGTCAGTGTCAGGTGTTGAGTGTCTACACAGTGACTTATATTTCACACGTCCTCCAGCAGCCTAAATACAGCCACCATGCAACTGTCTACCACAGGGTTATGTGTATACATGTCTGTATGAGCTCTCTCTACCACAGGGTTATGTGTATACATGTCTGTATGAGCTCTCTCTACCACAGGGTTATGTGTAGACATGTCTGTATGAGCTCTCTCTACCACAGGGTTATGTGTATACATGTCTGTATGAGCTCTCTCTACCACAGGGTTATGTGTATACATGTCTGTATGAGCTCTCTCTACCACAGGGTTATGTGTATACATGTCTGTATGGGCTCTCTCTACCACAGGGTTATGTGTATACATGTCTGTAGAGCTCTCTCTACCACTGTATGTGTATACATGTCTGTATGAGCTCTCTACCACAATGTTATGTGTATACATGTCTGTATGAGCTCTCTCTACCACAGGGTTATGTGTATACATGTCTGTATGAGCTCTGTCTACCACAGGGTTATGTGTATACATGTCTGTATGGGCTCTCTCTACCACAGGGTTATGTGTATACATGTCTGTATGAGCTCTCTCTACCACAGGGTTATGTGTATACATGTCTGTATGAGCTCTCTCTACCACAGGGTTATGTGTATACATGTCTGTATGAGCTCTCTCTACCACAGGGTTATGTGTATACATGTCTGTATGGGCTCTCTCTACCACAGGGTTATGTGTATACATGTCTGTATGAGCTCTCTCTACCACAGGGTTATGTGTATACATGTCTATATGATCTCTCTCTACCACAGGGTTATGTGTATACATGTCTGTATGAGCTCTCTCTACCACAGGGTTATGTGTATACATGTCTGTATGAGCTCTCTCTACCACAGGGTTATGTGTATACATGTCTATATGAGCTCTCTCTACCACAGGGTTATGTGTATACATGTCTGTATGAGCTCTCTCTACCACAGGGTTATGTGTATACATGTCTGTATGAGCTCTCTCTACCACAGGGTTATGTGTATACATGTCTGTATGAGCTCTCTCTACCACAGGGTTATGTGTATACATGTCTGTATGAGCTCTCTCTACCACAGGGTTATGTGTATACATGTCTGTATGAGCTCTCTCTACCACAGGGTTATGTGTATACATGTCTGTATGAGCTCTCTCTACCACAGGGTTATGTAATACATGTCTATATGAGCTCTCTCTACCACAGGGTTATGTAATACATGTCTGTATGAGCTCTCTCTACCACAGGGTTATGTGTATACATGTCTGTATGAGCTCTCTCTACCACAGGGTTATGTGTATACATGTCTGTATGAGCTCTCTCTACCACAGGGTTATGTGTATACATGTCTGTATGAGCTCTCTCTCTACCACAGGGTTATGTGTATACATGTCTGTATGAGCTCTCTCTACCACAGGGTTATGTGTATACATGTCTATATGAGCTCTGTCTACCACAGGGTTATGTAATACATGTCTGTATGAGCTCTCTCTACCACAGGGTTATGTGTATACATGTCTGTATGAGCTCTCTCTACCACAGGGTTATGTGTATACATGTCTGTATGAGCTCTCTCTACCACAGGGTTATGTGTATACATGTCTGTATGAGCTCTCTCTACCACAGGGTTATGTGTATACATGTCTGTATGAGCTCTCTCTACCACAGGGTTATGTGTATACATGTCTGTATGAGCTCTCTCTACCACAGGGTTATGTAATACATGTCTATATGAGCTCTCTCTACCACAGGGTTATGTAATACATGTCTGTATGGGCTCTCTCTACCACAGGGTTATGTGTATACATGTCTGTATGAGCTCTCTCTACCACAGGGTTATGTGTATACATGTCTGTATGAGCTCTCTCTACCACAGGGTTATGTGTATACATGTCTGTATGAGCTCTCTCTACCACAGGGTTATGTGTATACATGTCTGTATGAGCTCTCTCTACCACAGGGTTATGTGTATACATGTCTGTATGAGCTCTCTCTACCACAGGGTTATGTGTATACATGTCTGTATGAGCTCTCTCTACCACAACCTTTAGTGTATACATCTGCCCGTTTTCTGTCTACCACAACCTTATCTGTATGCATATCTGTGAATGGTCTCTCTACCACAACCTTATCTGTATGCATATCTGTGAATGGTCTGTCTACCACAACCTTATCTGTATGCACATTTGTGTATGGTCTCTCTACCACAACCTTATCTGTATGCACATTTGTGTATGGTCTCTACCATAACCTTCTACCTGTTGTTTTGCTGTGTCACATTTTCTGTCAAATTAATACAAAATGTTGAGAATGGGATTCACAAGGAGTAAAATAAAAATATAATCATTAGAGCATGAATATGGTCTCCAGCAGCTGTGGTTAATAATCTTCTGATAAAGAGAAATGAACCTCTCTCTCTCTCTCTCTCTCTCTCTCTCTCTCTCTCTCTCTCTCTCTCTCTCTCTCTCTCTCTCTCTCTCTCTCTCTCTCTCTCTCTCTCTCTCTCTCTCTCTCTCTCTCTCTCTCTCTCTCTCATTGGTTATCAGTTAATTCCACACATTTTTGCACATGTTTATGGATGCCTGGATAAAACTACCAACACCAGTTAAAAAAAACTGAAAGAAATTTAAACAAGCTCATGTGTCCTTTGTGCGGGCCATGGGTGTGATTGCAAGGGTCTGCATGTTTGTTGACCTGCCTGTGGTGTACTGTCCTATCACATGAAATCTGTAGTGTACTATGCTGTACTATAATGCCACATGATGTCTATGATTTACTGTCATGCCACATGATGGCTGTGATGTACAGGCCTCTCTGTGGTGTAGTATCATGGCACCTGTATCACAGATGTTGCAGATGCTGATCTTGTGTTTCATGTATATGTTTCAGCTGTCCAAAAACATTGACGATACTGAGTCCATGAACACAGCCTACACCAGACTGCTCCAGCAGTGAGTTCTCTCCTCTCTTGTCATTGGTAGATGTAGCTTTTGTGTGGTTGGCTATTTTGATAGTGAAATAGTTGATGTGTTGGGAATGACAGTGTGAATGTGATGGAGATGACAGTGTGGATGTGATGGACATGTCAGTGTGGATGTGTTGGGGATGACAGTGTGGATGTGTTGGGGATGACAGTGTGAATGTGATGGAGATGACAGTGTGGATGTGATGGACATGTCAGTGTGGATGTGATGGAGATAACAGAATGGATGTGATGGAGATAACAGAGTGGATGTGATGGAGATGACAGTGTAGATGTTATTGAGATGACAGTGGGGATATGTTGGAGATAACAGAGTGGATGTGATGGACATGGCAGTGTGGATCTGTTGAAGATAACAGTGGATGTGATGAAGATGGCAGTGTGGATCTGTTGAAGATAACAGAGTGGATGTGATGAAGATGGCAGTGTGGATGTGTTGGAGATTACAGTGGATGTGATGAAGATGGCAGTGTGGATCTGTTGAAGATAACAGAGTGGATGTGATGGAGATGACAGTGGATGTGATGGAGATGGATGTGTTGGAGATGACAGTGTGGATGTGTTGGAGATGACAGTGTGGATGTGTTAAAGATGAAAATGTGGATGTGTTAGACATGGCAGTGTGGATCTGTTGGAGATAACAATGTGAATGTGTTGAACATGGCAGTGTGGATGTGATGGAGATGACAGTGTGGATGTGTTGGAGATAACAGAGTTGATGTGATAGAGATGACAGTGTGGATGTGTTGGAGATGTCAGTATGGATGTGTTGGAGATGACAGTGGATGTGATGGAGATGGCAGTGTGGATGTGATGGAGATGGCAGTGTGGATGTGTTGTACATGGCAGTGTGGGTGTGTTGGAGATGACAGTGTGGATGTGTTGGACATGGCAGTGTGGGTGTGTTGGAGATGACAGTGTGAATGTGTTGGAGATGACAGTGTGAATGTGTGTTGGAGATGACAGTGTGGATGTGATGGAGATGACAGTGTGGATGTGATGGAGATGACAGTGTGGATCTGTTGGAGATGACAGTTTGGATGTGTTTGAGATAGCAGAGTGGATGTGTTTGAGATGACAGTGTGGATGTGTTGGAGATGATAGTGTGGATTTGATGGAGATGGCAGTGTGGGTATATTGGAGATGACAGTGTGGATATGTTGGAGATGACAGTGGTGATGGAGATGGCAGTGTGGATGTGATGGAGATGGCAGTGTGGATGTGTTGGAGTACGGCAGTGTGGATGTAATGGAGATGGCAGTGTGGATGTGATGGAGATGACACTGTTGGTGTGTTGGAGATAACAGTGGTGTTGGAGATGACAGTGTGGATGTATTGGAGATGGCAGTGTGGATGAGATGGAGATGGCAGTGTGGATGAGATGGAGATGACAGTGTGGATTTGATGGAGATGACAGTGTGGATGTGTTGGAGATAACAGTGGTGATGGAGATGACAGTGTGGATGTATTGGAGATGGCAGTGTGGATGTGATGGCAGTGTGGATGTAATGGAGATGACAGTGTGGATGTAATGGAGATGGCAGTGTGGATGTGATGGAGATGAGAGTGTATGTGATGGAGATGACAGTGTGGATGTAATGGAGATGGCAATGTGGATGTGATGGAGATGACAGTGTGGATGTGATGGAGATGACAGTGTGGATGTGATGGAGATGGCAGTGTGGATGTGATGGAGATGGCAGTGTGGATGTGATGGAGATGGCAGTGTGGATGTGTTGGAGATGGCAGTGTGGATGAGTTGGAGATGGCAGTGTGGATGAGTTGGAGATGGCAGTGTGGATGTGATGGACATGGCAGTGTGGATATGTTAAAGATGGCAGTGTGGATATGTTAAAGATGGCAGTGTGGATGTGATGGACATGACAGTGTGGATGTGTTGGAGATGGCAGTGTGGATTTAATGGACAAGCCAGTGTGGATGTGATGGACATGCCTGATGGGGATGACTGTGTGGATGTAGTGGAGATGATAGTGATTGACCCAAGTGTTTAATTAGTTATTTATAATTGTTCTGTTGTTTTCTGTGCAGCAAGAAAGCCAGCATAGATGAGACTGTCAGTACACAAGCCCAGACATTCATTCATCAAATGAATTCCCACACAAAGTCAAATGTAGCAAGGGTTGAACAGGTATTGTCATCATCATCATCATCAGGCTGTTAGTATGTCATGTTTTGCCATTTCACACAGTGGCCTCTGTCAGGTCAGTGTTATCATATCACCTCATTCTGTGGTTAAGCCATCCATCTTGCTGCCTTCCTCTAGTTCTGTTTGCATCAAATTTGTGGGTTGTCAGATTGTCAACTCAATTTCTTCTTTTAACAGTATCCAAAATGTATTGACTATCTACACCGTAAGTCACTTTTTTTTTAAACTATTGCCCTGGGAACACTAAAAGAAAATGGTTCATGATGCCATTGGAATGCAATTTAAAATGCTTCAATTTTACACAGGTCATTTTGTAAGTTTTAAAAAACAAACACACACACACACAAATTTTTTCTTTAAAATATATAAAGATATATGATGGGGGTAATCAGGGTTAAAGGTTAAACGGAATACATTCACTAAGGCTTGAGAGAAAGGTATGTGTCAGGTGAATCATACCTTGACCTCTATCACTGAGGCTTGAAAGAAAGACATGTGTCAAGTGACTCATACCTTGACCTCTATCACTGAGGCTTGAAAGATAGATATGTGTCGGGTAACTCTTTCACTAAGGTTTGCTTGCAGTTTTGTTGTTAAAATGCTGGTATTTTGTCTGTGGGAATCGTCTAGCATACTGCTTGTCTGTGTGTGAATAGACTGGTATTTTGTCTGTGTGAATCGACTAGCATACTGTTTGTCTGTGTGTAAATAGACTGATATTTTTTCTGTGGGAATCAAATAGCATACTGTTTGTCTGTCGGAATTGACTAGCATGCTGTGTGAATAGCCTGGTATTTTGTCTGTGAATCAACTAGCATACTGTTTGTCTGTGTGTGAATAGACTGGTATTTTGTCTGTGTGAATCAACTAGCATACTGTTTGTCTGTGTGTGAATAGACTGGAATTGTGTCTGTCGGAATTGACTAGCATACTGTTTGTCTGTGTGTAAATAGACTGGTATTTTGTCTGTGTGAATCAACTAGCATACTGTTTGTCTGTGTGTGAATAGACTGGTATTTTGTCTGGGGGTCAACTAGCATACTGTTTGTCTGGTGTGAATAGACTGGTATTTTGTCTGGGAGTCAACTAGCATACTGTTTTTGTGTGAATAGACTGGTATTTTGTCTGTGGGAATCGACTAGCATACTGTTTGTCTGTGTGTGAATAGACGGGTATTTTGTCTGTGTGAATCGACTAGCATACTGTTTGTCTGTGTGTGAATAGACTGGTTTTTTGTCTGTGGGAATCGACTAGCGTACTGTTTGAATAGACGGGTATTTTGTCTGGGAATCAACTAGCATACTGTTTGTCTGTGTGTGAAAAGACTGGAATTTTGTCTGTTTGAATCGACTAGCATACTGTTTGTCTGTTTGTGAATAGACTAGTATTTTGTCTGTGTGAATCGACTAGCATACTGTTTGTCTGTGTGTGAATAGACTGGTTTTTTGTCTGTGAATCGTCTAGCATACTGTTTGTCTGTGTGTGAATAGACTGGTATTTTGTCTGTGAATCGACTAGCATACTGTTTGTCTGTGTGTGAATAGACTGGTATTTTGTCTGTGAATTGACTAGCATACTGTTTGTCTGTGTGTGAATAGACTGGTATTTTGTCTGGGAGAATTGACTAGCATACTGTTTGTCTGTGTGTAAATAGACTGGTATTTTGTTTGGCTGAATCGGCTAGCATACTGTTTGTCTGGTGTGAATAGACTGGTATTTTGTCTGTGTGAATAGACTGGTATTTTGTCTGTAATTATTGGATGTGATTGTTTATTGGTGAACAACCCTGTGGTTATTAAATATGTCACTGAACAAATGCTGACTGTGTGTCATACACACATTGTGGTCGGACTATGTATAGATAAATATACATTGTTTGTAGGTATGGTTTTGATTATAAACTGCTGTCTTGTGATTATAGATGTGATTTTGTACTGATAACTGTTATATGTGATTATAGATGTGATTTTGTACTGATAACTGTTATATGTGATTATAGATGTGATTTTGTACTGATAACTGTTATATGTGATTATAGATGTTGTACAAAAGTAATGAGATAATTACCCACAAGGAGAAAATGGCCCATTGTGATTTAGGGTGAATCTAACTAGTTTCTTTTGACTTAAGACAAAACTACACATAAATAATTATTTCTAACTTCAGACATTACAGTATATTGGTAGAGATGAAGAACTATGTCAGCAGGCACTTCCACTTCTCACTGGACTGGAAATGGAAAACAGCAAGGTATTGTTCTCAGTATTTTTCTACCTGCATCTGCTGCTGTACTCTGTAACATATCATTGTTGTACTGTCCCCTACTCTGTAACATACCATTGTTGTACTGTCCCCTACTCTGTAACATATCATTGTTGTACTGTCCCCTACTCTGTAACATACCATTGTTGTACTGTCCCCTACTCTTTAGCATACCATTGTTGTACTGTCCCCTACTCTGTAACATACCATTGTTGTACTGTCTCCTACTCTGTAACATACCATTGTTGTACTGTCCCCTACTCTGTAATATATCATTGTTGTACTGTCCCCTACTCAGTAACATACCATTGTTGTACTCTCCCCTACTCTGTAACATACCATTGTTGTACTGTCCCCTACTCTGTAACATACCATTGTTGTACTGTCCCCTACTCTGTAACATACCATTGTTGTACCGTCCCCTACTCTGTAACATACCATTGTTGTACCATCCCCTACTCTCTAACATATCATTGTTGTATCATCCCCTACATTATCTATCATCACTGCTGTATCATCCCCTTTATTATATATCATCACTGCTGTATCATCCCCTTTATTATATATCATCACTGCTGTACCATCCCCTTCATTATACATCGTCACTATAGTATGATTTCTATAGAAGTATTCTTCAGTCTGCAAAAGAAGCAATCCCTAGAGGTTGTCGACACAGCTACAGATCTTACTGAATTAACACACTCCAGGATTAACAAGAAACAATGAACCAGGCTGGAATGGATGCAGAATCACAACCTCCACCTGGCAACCACACCAAATGGGAAAAGGCTGTAGCAGTGTTCAAGAGAACTGAACTTGAAGAAAAACAGAAAGGCTTGACAAATATAACAGCTGGTCTAAACCTTGAGAAAGATGGCAAGAAACTCTAGAGATTAGTCAAATCACTCAATGAAGAGTTTATCTTCTAGACAAATAATCACACTGAGTGGTGATAAAACTTTTTGCTGGAAAACAAGCTACAGATTTGTTTGCTAGAACATTGAGTGTTGAAAGCAGCTTGCCCCAAATGAGGACCACCAGAGAGAAATAAGGAAAGAAAAACACATATCACACAGATATTCCTGCCTCTATGATGGAGCCCTTCACCCTGGGTGAATTCGAAAATGACATTTCCAGGCTTAAGTTGAAATAGTCTGCAGTTCCAGATGAAATGCTGATCAGTCTGTCCTTAGCTGCTAACAAAATGTTAACATCAGCTGGGAGAAAGGATGAGTGCCTCAGCTATCATAATGCCCATAATAAAAAAAGGGAAAATTAAGACCCAGGCTTTAATCTATTGACCAGTTAGTTTCACAATCTATGTAGGAAAGACTTTGGAGTGAATTGTAAATTAAAGACTAAAATGACACTTAGAATCTCAGCAAATCTTGATGTCAGAGCAAGCCGGATTTAGAGAATGTTACAGAATAGAAGACCAAGTCACCCACCTGTCAAAAGCTGTAGAAGATGCCTTCCATGAGAAGAAAAAAGGTCCTGCAGTGTCGTTTGACTCAAACAAGCTTTGGCATTCTGATGTACTGATAAACACACAACAGCGGCAGATCTAAGAATGCAGTGAGCAGCTGACCTGTTAATGACATGGGCAGAAAAGTGGGCTGTGGCCATCAACACAGACAAAACATCCACAACGCCTTTCTCTTTCCCCCAGAAACAAAGTTGCCAATATTCACCTAGGAACATGCTTGCTAAAGGAAGAAATCTTTCCCACTTATCTTGGAGAGACATTTGATACAAGACACAAGTGAAGCAAACATATTGAAAATGTAGAAAAGGGGGGGGGGGGAGAGAACTAGGGCTACTTATAAAACTGGCAGGCACAAGCTGGGGAGCAAATGTAAAACCCTTTTTTAAAAAAAGTTTTCAATGGAGCGATAAGACCCAACTTGAAGTTTGGTGCAACAACTTGGTCATCAACTGCTAATTCTCATCTAACATTATTAGACAGTGCAAAATCATGCCCTTAGACATCACAGGATCCATGAAAACCGCACCGATCCTAGAGATGCACAAAATAACTGAAATGCAGACATTGTCCTATAGAAGAGACACTAAAACCATGATCCAGATTGAAGAAGTTTAATAATATGCAGTCACACACCTTGAATTCAAGATTAGATGATCTGACATTGGGGTGTCTCAAACGTTGCAGCTTTGTCAATCGGAGCGAAGACTTAGTAGACAGTATCAAGCAGATCTAGCCGTAAGAACAACAGTGCTGAAACTAACCCTATATTCTGTTCTTTGGGAGCAAGTCATCAACATAATACAGATAGTGACTTCAGTCAATGGACTCACAGCAGGAGATAAGACCAGTGACCTTTAAAGATAAGCAGCTGCTCTTAGCATGATTCAAGAAAACTTTCCTGAACAGTCGTGGATACATGCTTACACAGGTGGATCAGCAACCCCAACAAAATGGAGGCAATGCCGTCTTTATCACATACCCAGACAACCAGTGCCACACAAAGTATGTCTACCCACTGATAAATTCTGTATCAACTACACAGCAGAGATCCTAGCACTAGAGCAGGCTGCCCAAATATTACACAACACCACTTCTGACTGCCACCAAGTGGTCATCTTCACAACTGTGTTATCAGTGCTCCAAACCTTCAAGAGTGGTCAACTTCCTCTCCTGAGATCTGAACTTAGCAAGGTGGCTGGTACAAAAGCGTTCTGTACTCCAGAGGGAGCCATCCCAGTGCAGATAAACTTGCTAAGAAAGGGGCAGAAAGTAAACAGGAAGAGATTGCAGTAGCAAACTATGGGAAGAAAAAGGCCATCCAGAGTATCAGAAGTGAACAGGCTGGCCAGAGATGACTACCACTTACTTGACCGTCATGAGCAGGTCATTATTCTATGCCTCAGGAAGAACATAACAAGCATATACACAAGCTTTGTCTAAGTAGTTCATGATTATGCCTTTGTGGGCTGTGTGTGCAGACTACAGAACATGTCCTGCAAGAAAGCCCCTTTTACAATAGCCTATTAACTCTTTGAGTCCCAAGAAACACATTATATGTTCAAGATTCCTACCTAGAAGCCCAGTCAACGCATGATGTACCGATTTTATGCCTCTGTTTACTACCCCTTGGGCTTGTGATGCTAAACCCTTTGGGACTTGAAAAGTTAAGAGAATACTGGCCCACTGAGTCAACACTGCACTCAACAGCTGTATGGAACTAAAAGGAAACTCCTAAAACAGACAAGTCTGTCGGTGTAAATCCGAAAGAAAACACGAAGAATCACTGCTGTGCCGCCCCCTACTCTCACCATATTTACCTGATTACATGTTGCTGTCAAGAAAACATACTGCAGTGACAGGCAATAGTCCGCCAGAAATGAGCTAGTCAAGAAATGGTACCTCATATTTGTGCTGGTGAACAAATTGTACCTCAGATCTGTGCTGTTGAAAAAACCGATATGTCGCACAGTCACAGTGTTCTTGAGTTATCTTCAAGGTACTTCGGACACGTCTATAGCTGCTCAGATCCCCCCTCAACATTTTAATCAGCGACCCGTGGTTGATAGTTCCAGTCCTTTGGTGGTTGACAAGACTTCTTGTGCATCTGATGTGCTTCTCATGCCTGGCTGTGCCGATCTGTACTCCTAACTCTTGCACTCTTAGCACAGATGTGGATGTTCTGCTCCTGAATTCCTCAAAATCTCTCTAATGGCATTAACAATGTCTGCATGATCCATGGGCTGGCCCTCTGTAACTAAGGCAGAGCCAGGTAATCTGTCGACTCTTTCACTGCCAACAACACTCGCATGCCCTGGGACAAAGATGAAGGTAACTTTGCAATGACTCAATCCACTGTCTGTGTACAAATCTTGCCTCAACCCGCCAGATCATGCTCATAGAATCACTGGGCACACACATGAGAATAGCCCTGTGATGATAGCCGCGTGAAAGCTTGTGTCACCGCCATCACCTCCATTGTCATGCTGCTAGTAGTCATACAGAAGGCACCACTAGCCTCTTAGACTGTTCTGCCTGCAGAGCAGCAGTAAATGTCCATGGACTTTTTCGTTCTCATTCAACAGGCCTATCTGTGTCAATAAGTATTTCCTCCTCATTTAAACACAGGAAAAAGTGCAGTTGGCCACTGAGGCAGAGGCATCCCTTCTTCGCTGATGTTGGTGTCTGTAACCTGCATTATATCATCCTCTGCCCTACCGAGCCATAATGTGCCCCCTTTTAGCCTGTTACCCTTTTCCCTAAAGAGAACATTGTGCAGAGAGTGCTTCGAATCTGAGCTTTTCTTCAATGTATGTACGAGTCCTCCAGATCCTCATTCTATGGTGCATTATCCTACAATGTTCTATATCTCATGTTGTCACGTTACTCTGAAAAACCATCCTATGTTGCATTTTGCACCCTGATGTTTCATTGTTTGTGCACCATAACTTCATTCCCAGGCATGGACTCAAGTCTCCCAGATGTTCCGGGATAAATATGACACTTTGCTGAATGACCAGGGACGTTACCTACAGGAACATGAGGCTTTACATCAGGTAATATTGTTCTCTCTCTCTCTCTCTCTCTCTCTCTCTCTCTCTCTCTCTCTCTCTCTCTCTCTCTCTCTCTCTCTCTCTCTCTCTCTCTCTCTCTCTCTCTCTCGCTCTCTCTCTCTCCCGCCCTCTCTCTCCTTCTCTCTCTCTCTCTCTCTCTCTCTCTCTCTCTCTCTCTCTCTCGGCTGTGTGCTGCACTCTACACCATCTGTCTCACTAGTGGCTGTGTGCTACTCTCTACACCATCTGTCTCACTAGTGGCTGTGTGCTACTCTCTACACCATCTGTCTCACTAGTGACTGTGTGCTACACTCTACACCATCTGTCTCACCAGTGACTGTGTGCTACTCTCTACACCATCTGTCTCACTAGTGACTGTGTGCTACACTCTACACCATCTGTCTCACTAGTGACTGTGTGCTACACTCTACACCATCTGTCTCACCAGTGACTGTGCTACTCTCTACACCATCTGTCTCACTAGTGGCTGTTTGCTACACTCTACACCATCTGTCTCACCAGTGGCTGTGTGCTACTCTCTACACCATCTGTCTCACTAGTGACTGTGTGCTACACTCTACACCATCTGTCTCACCAGTGACTGTGCTACTCTCTACACCATCTGTCTCACTAGTGGCTGTTTGCTACACTCTACACCATCTGTCTCACCAGTGGCTGTGTGCTACTCTCTACACCATCTGTCTCACCAGTGACTGTGTGCTACTCTCTACACCATCTGTCTCACCAGTGGCTGTGTGCTACTCTCTACACCATCTGTCTCACCAGTGGCTGTTTGCTACACTCTACACCATCTGTCTCACTAGTGGCTGTGTGCTACACTCTACACCATCTGTCTCACCAGTGACTGTGTGCTACTCTCTACACCATCAGTCTCACTAGTGGCTGTGTGCTACACTCTACACCATCTGTCTCACCAGTGGCTGTGTGCTACACTCTACACCATCTGTCTCACTAGTGGCTGTTTGCTACACTCTACACCATCTGTCTCACCAGTGGCTGTGTGCTACACTCTACACCATCTGTCTCACCAGTGACTGTGTGCTACTCTCTACACCATCTGTCTCACTAGTGACTGTGTGCTACACTCTACACCATCTGTCTCACCAGTGACTGTGTTACTCTCTACACCATCTGTCTCACCAGTGGCTGTTTGCTACACTCTACACCATCTGTCTCACTAGTGGCTGTGTGCTACACTCTACACCATCTGTCTCACTAGTGGCTGTGTGCTACTATGTATCCTACATTCAAGCCCATATCGACTATTGTTCCACGGTTTGGGATGGCTGCTCCAAATCCAACTTAAAAACGACTGTGTTCTCTACAAAATCGCACTTTACACCTAGTTTCGGATAGAAAACATACCGATAAAAATCATCTCTATAGCCAGTTAAGAATTTTCCTGTTTAAGAAACGATTACTTTTTCATAAAGCCAAATTTATTCATAAAATTTTAGCTCAGAACACTGCAGATTATCTTTTCCAGTTGATTCAACCCAACCCTAATACCAGCAAACGGCTAAATTTATTGCATTTGCCGAAGCCTAGATTAGATCTATATAAAACAAGTTTGTCATATTCTGCTGCTCATTTATGGAATCACCTCCCACTCGATCTGAAAAATATGAGTATGTACTCGTTTAACCGCAGCCTTTTTAAATTTATGCTTACTAGTGATTATAGGCCACCATAGATGAAGTTAATAATTCCCATGTATTATCACCTTACTTATATGTATTATATATGTGGATGGGTGTGTGTAATTGTTAGTGTGTATGTATATATGTGGATATATGTCTGTATTTTTAGGTTTAGTATGTGTGTGTATTTATGTATGTAGGTTGTAAATATATGGGTGTATGTGTGATTGTATATGAGTGTGATTGTGTGTGTGTCTGTATTATGTATGCATGTATGTATGTATGCAGGCTTATATAAGTGAATTTTGTGTGATTAGTTATGTGTGTATGCATGCATATGTGTTTATGTATGTTATAAATGTGTATGTATGCACGTATGTGTGTTTGTATGCATGTTGGTGGATGTATGTATGTGTCTGTGTAAGTATGTGTGTGAATTTATGTGTGTTTGCAAGTATGTATGTATGTTTGTAAGTATGTGAGTGTATGTATGGATGTATGTATGTATGTGTCTGTGTGCGCGCGCATGTATGTCTATGTAAATGTGTGTTTATGTTTGTATGTCGATGTATGTTTGTATTATGTATGCATGCAGATTTAGCCTATGTATGTACACATATGTATGTGTGCGTATATGTATGTAGGTGCATGTATGTATTATGTATGTCTGTATGTATGAGAATGTATGAATGTAAATGTGTAAGTATGTGATTGTATCTGTGTGTGTATATTTATGTATAATGTGGGTGTATGCAGGTATATTTAGCTGTGTAGGTATGTGGGTGTTTGTGTATTTATAAAAGCATGCATGTGTGTGTATGCATGTGGATATATGAAAGTATATTTAGGTATGTGTGTAAAGATGTGAGTTTAGGTATAAATGTGTGGATATATGTATGCATGTGGGTGGGTGTATGTATTCATGTAAGTGTAAATGTGTGGTTTTGGGCATATGTTTGTGTCTGTACATGTAATGGTATATGTGTGTATGCATGGGTGCATGTATAGATGTGTATATATGGAATGCGTGTGTGCATGTATATCCATAAATGTATGTGTGTGTGTGTGTTTTCTGTTTGTGCATTTATTTCTGTGTATGTGTATGTTTGTATATGTATGTAGATGCAGGTGTGTATGTATCACGTATGTCTGTATATGAGTTCACCTGTATGAAAATGTTAGATGATATGTATACGTGTTGTGTGTGAGTGTGTATGATGGCGTACACACGATGTGTGTATGCATTATATATTTCTTTTTAAATCCATAACATGCATTATTGATAACAGGTATTAGTACTCTGAAAAATGAGTACTTAGAAGGGCCGAATGTCAGACGGGCCTGCGTGCCCAATTTGTAACCCTTTGTAACCATCTGTCTCACTAGTGGCTGTTTGCTACTCTCTACACCATCTGTCTCACTAGTGGCTGTGTGCTACTCTCTACACCATCTGTCTCACCAGTGGCTGTGTGCTACTCTCTACACCATCTGTCTCACCAGTGGCTGTGTGCTACTCTCTACACCATCTGTCTCACTAGTGGCTGTGTGCTACTCTCTACACCATCTGTCTCACCAGTGGCTGTGTGCTACTCTCTACACCATCTGTCTCACCAGTGGCTGTGTGCTACTCTCTACACCATCTGTCTCACCAGTGGATGTGTGCTACTCTCTACACCATCTGTCTCACCAGTGGCTGTGTGCTACACTCTACACCATCTGTCTCACCAGTGGCTGTGTGCTACACTCTACACCATCTGTCTCACCAGTGGCTGTGTGCTACACTCTACACCATCTGTGTCTCACCAGTGGCTGTGTGCTACACTCTACCACCATCTCTGTCTCACTGAGTGGCTGTGTGCTACACTTACACCATCTCGGTCTCACCATGGCTGTGTGCTACATCTATAACACCAATCTCTGTCTCACCAGTGGCTGTTGTGCATACACCTCTACACCATCATGTCTCACCCACAGGGCTGTGTGTACACTCTACACCCATCTGTTCACCAGTGGCTGTGTGTGCTACTCTATTGTACAACATCTCTGGCCTCCACCAGTGGCTGTGTGCTACACTCTACACCATCTCTGTCTCACCAGTGGCTGTGTGCTACATATACCATCTCTGTCTCACCAGTGGCTGTGTGCTACTCTCTAAACTCTCATCACTAGGTGGCTCTGCTTTTCCTCAGTGGGCAGAGAGTGCAAGGAGGCATCACATATAAACTACTGAGGAATCAATTGGTTTAGGCTTCAACAGCTGACTTCTTTCTCTGTCCACAGTCCAGGACCAAGATGATCAAACTTGTTACTTATCTGTGTGAAAAACATCTGGTTCTCCATGTCCATTGCTGTCTAACCCATGCACTGAATCAGTTTTGCTGTAGCTGCCTCCACATGGTCCCTGAAAGACAGGCTTGTACCGAAACCACCCATCTGACTGTACACACATGGTGCTCGTTACATATCTAAAAAAAACAGCTATCTTGTGTTGGATTGTTGATGGAAACCCAGCTGTAACCTTGATGTGTATTTTCTCTACAAAATGCAGACAAATGAGGCCCGCTGAAGGCGCTAGTGACAGAGAACCACCAGCAGGTCCAGCAAGCCTGTGCCCAGTTAGACAGAAAGCTCAGCATCAGCAAGGCCCCGACTGGACTTGCAGTCACATGTTGGTGCTTATGTCAAGTTTTATCCACACTGAGAGACACACAGGATACAATATCACGAGATGTCACACAAAGTACTTCACTGATGACTGATGACAGATGTCCCACAGGTATGTCCCTAAATATTTTTAGTCACTTAGAAGCAGTCTGTTCTCAAACTGCTAGTGTGCGGTGTGACACTTTCTATTAGTTTTCCACACTTACCAAAGCTCAATCAGGTGTGCCTATACGGAACAAGGCTAATAAGATAGTTTGTAATGTCTATGTGGTGTTTAACAGCTACGGCCAGTGATTCAACAATTTACACAAAGTTAAGATCATTCAAACCTGGATAATTAACTATGTAAAAATGTTAAGGAGAATTTTAAAAAAAAATATATCAAATTGCCCTGCTGTATGTAATGGATCTTTCTTGGTGCTTCCTGTGTAATTAAAAGGGGGGGGGGGGGGGTGAACCACTTTTCACACAACCACAAGCAACACACAGCTAAACTCAAAACTCTGTCCTGGAACAATATTCTACATTTGCAAAGAAGTTAAAAAGAAATGAAAATGGGTTCCCTACGCCACTTTAAAAAACAACAGTATTTTATATTTAAATTATTGTTACATGGAAAGGAGCTATTTCTGCTCGGATCCAGTTGTAGAACACTACGTGTTGTAATCTGGAAATGAAGTTATTTCTGATCGGATCCAGTTGTGAACACTACGTGTGAAATCTGGAATGTTATTTC